GCTGCCGCCGCCCAGGCCCCTGGGGATGCCCCGCGGCGAGGCGGCCCCGCCCGATCCGCACTCATGGCGGTGGCCAGGAAGATCAAAACTTTGCTGACGGTCAACATCCTGGTGTTCGTGGGCATCGTCCTCTTCTCCGTGTACTGCCGCCTGCAGGACCGCTCTGCCGCGCTGGTGCAGGTCGTGCGCGGCGCCGACCGCCGGGTGCGCAGCCGGCACGCCAAGGTGGGCGCGCTGGCCGACCGCGAAGCCATCCTGCAGCGTCTGGACCACCTGGAGGAGGTGGTCTACAACCAGCTCAATGGTGAGCGGCCGGAGCAGGGTCCGGTGGGGGCGCGCCGCTGGGCCAAGGGGCCAGGACCCACGCCCACCCCGGCTGTAGGCCGCAGGGCTGGAACCAGCCCCTCTGTGTGCCCGTGGGAGCGAATGGCCGGGAGGCAGACAGAGGTGAGAGCTCTTTGAGTCCTCCCTTTGGCAGAGGCTGGCCTGGATGATCACTCAGTCATTCATTCTTCCAGTGAACATTTGGGAAGGACCCCAGCCTCCCACCCGGTGACTTCAAACTTACTCCCCAGGAGAACTTGAGGGAACTTCAGGAGAGGTTCTTAGGATCTACCTGGCAGCAGGCAGCACCAGGGTCCAGGGGTGAGGGCAGGCTGCCAGCCCCCAGGGCTTAGGTCAGGCTTATTCCCATCCTTCTGCAGAGGTGGAGGGAGGGGCAGGTGCTGCCCTCTAAATGGCTTATGTCCTGTCCTTGCAGCTGGGACTCACAGGGGACCCACTGAGGCTGTGACCCCTGACCCAGACAGTATCCCACATGGACTGCTCAGGGCTTGTGCCATGAAGTTCTGTGGTGGGGAAATGCTGAGGCCTGGCTGCTGTGTGGAAAGATAAAGTCCAGGGTCCAGCAGGGCTGGGCAGGAGTTAATTGTTCACATGGATGGAGGCTGTCCAAAGGGAGTCCCCAAAGCCTTGAAAGTGTCCTTTGCTCCATGGGGCCCTGGGAAGGTCAGCATTGGTGTCAGGGTAGGTCAAGGCCACTGGCCACAGTAGTGAAATGAATACTTTTCCACTTTGGGATGGGCAGGATGAACACAGGGAATGCTGCCCCCCGGCCAGGATGAAGGAAGGAGAATGTTTGGGTGTACCCACTTTACCAGGGGCTTCTCCCTTCTGGTTCATTAGGCTGTTCTGTTTTCCGCATTGATAGCCCCAGCAAACCTCTTCCAGGAAGTGCCAGGGACAGGGTCACAAAGAAGGTGGCTGGGGGCTGGGATCTGTATGCTGCTCTGTGCCACATGTGTGGGGGGTGGAGATTGGGGTCTTCTGACAGGTTCCTTTGGGGGCCCATTCTGTGGGAGCCTGAGTTGCAGGTGGGCCTCTGAGCCACAGCCTGAAGGGGCTGCCTAGTGTGTCCCTAGGCTGAGGACCATCTGGCCTGCTGGTGGCTCACTCTTGGAGAGCTAAGCACGCCCAGACCCCTCAGTGCGTTCTGGTCACCATGGAATACCTGGCTCCCCGGGGATGGCTGGCCAGCTCCCTGGCTTTTCTGGTCTTTGCTTTTCTCCTGTAACCACGAAAGGAGAAGTTCAGCCGGAGCGGCCACCTGGCCATTCCGGCAGTGATTCATCTCCTGGAAGGTGGCGTGCCCCGGTAATAGCACAGAGCTTTATTGAAGTGTATTTGCCAGGGTGTTATGGTCTGTTTTATGGGGAGAACCGGAGGATTATATAAAAACATTGGCAGCTCGTTGGGGTTGTGTAACATCTTGACGGCCGGCAGCCCCGGGAACTGCTCTCCTTGCCTCGCCCGCTGAGAGCAGAAGCCAGGAGCCTTGGCAGAGAGAGCCTGGACCCTCAACCAACTTTTCTGACATCAGTGGGGAGAGAATGACGTGACTGGGGACGTGGCGTGCCACCTTCCCTCCCCAGCCTCTCCGCCCGCTCTCCCA